ATCTAAACCGGATGTGGGAAGAGTCATAGTACGACGAACGAAAGCTTTCTCTGGATTCGCGTTGGCAGAAACAATGCAAGGCGGCTTCCTTGGGAATTGCTCATACTCTCCTCCCTCAAATACTGATTTCCAGTATTGAGTTGACAATTCTGAGGTTGAATTCCGGGAATATTTGATGAAGAAAGAGAATGAAGCTTTCGTGGCTTCAAAGGAATTCCTGAAGGCGTCCCTCACTGCTTGCAGGGTGAGTCCGACAGAGTGACCATCGACAATAGCGTGATGCACAGTCCAGACCATGCTCGATGCCAGACCATTGGTATCGTAGATGATGCCGTATCGATTGAGCGGAACCCCAAATTTTGACGCCTTTCTCAGGTCAAAGTCTAGATATTCATCAAGATTGGAGCTTTCATTCCAACGCAAGGCCTCGCGTACGACAACTTGTTGGATGCCAGACATCGATGTGTCTACCAGACGAGTTCGTAGGATGCCGTGTGATTTGGAAACTAAATTCCACGCGTTTTTCAAGCTTGCGACATCGACATCTTCTCCAAGATGAAGCACATACTGGACCAGGAATGAATTGGCAGTTGTGGAAGACATGGCCATGAGCCCCTCCTGCAGGGGTGTGCAGGGAAAAGCATCTTCAATGTCCTCTCTAATGATGGAACACTCCTCGGCAATTTCTGTAAGAGCCACTGATTTCCCATCTAGAAGTTCCATGGGTCGGGTAGTGATCATGGACTTCTTGGACTGGAGCATGGGAAGCTGACAGAGGTCTCCCAAAATTGGATTCTTGAAGACTTGCGCGAATTCCAGCGCGAGGCCACCTTTACGCGCAGCCGATACTAGCGATATCACGGCCATAGAATCTCCACCGAGGCGTAAGAAATTGCTGTTGGCCGATAGGATGCCCTCGGAGATCCCGAGAACGCCGGCCCAAAGACCGCGCATTACGTTTTGAAGCTCAGTATTCTCGTTCGCAGCTTCTTCAGTGTCATCCTCCAGGCTCAACTCAGAGAACCCATAGAACTGCTCAGGACGGAGGTCGTCAACTTCCCGACGTAAACGCTTAAGATCAACCTTGCCATTGGTGGTGAGAGGCAGGCCAAAAAGAGGGATGTAGAGGGAGGGACACATCCAGGAGGGAAGAACGTTGGAAATAATAGCTTCAACCCTCGGTATCATCTTCCGAAGCGCTGGAATCTGTCTGGGCATGACGCATCTGCCATCGACGGAGTCGCCCCTGGTGTTTCCTTGTTGGCAAATGAAGGCCACCAGTACTTTGGCGTTCTTTTTTGATCCATAAGTTGGCCTCGTGACGACGTCCACAACAACATTCTGGGTCTTAAACGCTGAGCGCAGATGATATTCAACTTCGGAGGCTTCCAGTCGCTGTCCAGAGATCTTGAGCTGAGTGTCTTTGCGGCCTTCAAAGTGAATCACACCATTCTGGTCAAAGCGGCACAAGTCCCCTGTCCGATAAAGCCGACCTCGTCGATTGTGTTTGGTGAGCCAAGGAGGATCACGAACGAAGGCATTGTTAGGCCCTTCGCCCTCCTCAAAATTCAGGTAGCCCCTCGCTAGTTGAGGACCTTCAAGAACCAGCTCTCCAACGGCACCAAGAGGTGACAAGCGATTAGGGTCGTCTGGTTCGACGATCCAGCAAAAGGTTCCAACACCGCGCCCGATAACTCCGGGGTTCCCATTGGATCGAACAAGGTGCATAGTAGAGAAGACAGTGTTCTCAGTAGGCCCAAATGCATTGATGAGATTGCGTCCGCCCCCCCATTTCTCGATATTATCTTGACCGACAGCTTCGCCGCCCAACAACAAGGTTGTCAGTCCGGGTAATTCGGACGGTTCAAGAAGTCGGATCACAGAAGGCGTAAAGAATGCCCAATTTACCCTCTTTATCTGCATGACACTGGTGATGTCGTTCAACCTCTCGTCTTCAGACGGGATAACAATGCAGCCACCGAAGCTGAGAGTCGTGAGGATTTCGGCGATAGACGCGTCGAAGGTATGACGAGCGTATTGGATGACCCTCGTCTGTCTGTTGAATCCTGTGGCTTTTCCGTGGGCGGCGATACTGGAAGAGCAGGCAGCATTGTCAACCATCACCCCTTTTGGTTCTCCGGTGCTTCCGGAAGTGAACATGATGTAAGCCAGATCCCAAGGTCTTGGTGAAGTAAAAGGTGCAGTTTCAGGGCCAAATAGCTGCTGTGTCGATTGTTCTTCAACGCACAGAATGTTACTCGATAGCGCACGCAAACGCTCGGTGTATGTCTTGGAACTCAACACAGTCTTTGGCTGGATCTTATCGAGGAGGTGTGAGATTCGGCCGTCCGGCTGGAATGGATCCAGAGGCACAAACGCACCGCCGGCTTTGAGAACAGCCACCGTTGCCACAATGTTCCATACACTCTTCTCGAATAATAGAGCAACCTTGGACTCGGCTCGGACGCCTCGCATGAAAAGCTCGTTGGCGATCTTGCTTGACTTCTCGTCTAACTCTGCGTAAGACAGAGTACCATCCCACGCATCAACAGCTATGTTCAGAGGTGACCCGTGAACATGACTTTCGATCATGTCTTGTACAGAGATGTTTTCATGATCCGAGTCGAACCGGTTCCAGACATCGTATTGGTGATGGTCGCCTTCATCCAGGAGATCGAGATCACACAAATTGGCGTTCGGCTGGGCGATGATGCTTTCGAGAGCATTGCGAAATGTGGATAATATCTTTCTCGCACACCAGTCTGAGTGGGTCGTGTCCAAATATTCGCATCGTAGAAGAAGACTATGAGAGAGCGGATCTTGGCTCGCAGTAAAGGCCATGACTGTCTTTACAAATGTCAGCTAACCTTTTTACACTTTCATACGGAAGAGCGCCAATTAGATGATGATATTATGGCGATGGGGATGGGTAACGCAAGAAGCCATGTTAGTTAGAAGGAATTCCACTAACCTGCGGGTGTACGGCTTTCACGGCATGTAGAGACGGAAGGGCCTCTTGTACCATTTTCAGGGGACATCCATCACCGAAGAACGATACAATGAGAGCATACTCTGTGACGTTGGTCTTGGAGATAGTCACAGAGTCGGCGCCTGCAACTTTTGGCTTGCAGAGAAGTTCGAAGATGCGGCTCTTTGGGGACAAGGAAGTGTTCCAAAGTAACCACTTCTGATCCTCTCCTAAGAAGTTGATGGACTCAACTGACGTGTATGCCTTCAATGCTACGGCACAAGCAAGATGTATTATAGAGGCAGCTGAGCAGTGTGCGTATTTTTGAAGGGCCTCCAATCTGTTGGAGCGGAACAGCAGAGTTTCGGCCGTTTTCGTTTCTGGGTATGACGCGCGACCGTAGCTAGCCATCATGGTGCTTGTGTAGTGATTCTTCGATAGAAAATGAAAATGAACAAACGATGATCCGTTCAGTGGACACGAACAACTTGGCACACGGACATTCAAGTAGACTTTCTTGAGAAACAGAAGGAGTGATATGATATATCTGGGCATCTCCGAGCTTCATGTACTTTTTGGCGGTAGATGACACCGGGCCATTTTCGAGTACTTTATGCTCGCCATAAATCCGCGGGAGTCTAGATTTTGCAAATAGCACCCGATTGAAGAAGTACCCTGAGAGTCCCGCAAAGGTTTTCACCTTGTAGTTCACCGAAACCTCCCACATACATGTAAGCAAGTGGCGATTGTATTTGCCAAATTCGTCGAGACTCCTCCTACTGTATGGCTGCGCCAGAGGATTACAAAAGTTCGTTGAGGATCTGACGAGGGGCAAAGCAAAACCATGCGAACCTATCGTGAGCGTCAAAGGGGACCGAATCGTCTTACCTTCGATGAAGAGGGCATGGTCAGTAGTCCATCTTCCTTGCAGTCACACCTTTTCGTGTGACACGTCTTACCCTATGGAGCCTCATCTTGCCTCCATCTTAAAGTGCTTCAAGGTTTGCCTACTGTTGATTTGCAATCATCAGGTTTTCGTATCGTTGCCGAAGGCATCAATAATCCTTGCATCAGACCAGCATTAGTGATCCTGTCAAAAGTGCAATTCATTTCTACCTGCTCCTGAATTAAGAAACTTCATTCATCCTTGTTTAGATAAGGTGTGCCTGCATCGTGCTTGTGGATTCGCACTTGTCTGTGATGAGCCCCAAACGTACTATGTTTTTCGAGAACGTAATGCGATCTCACCAATGACGTGAAGTCGCGACAACGTATTCATGCTAGTGGCTTCGCGGTTACGATTTTATGGGATGAGAACCTAACACCCAGCTTCCTATTGCAGAACTGTATGGCCCAGGGTGTGAGCTTGACCTAGCATGGCGGGCTGAAATTCGGCAAGCTAGGTCAAGCCACGGCTGGAAGGATTGCCGCCAAGAGTTGAGGATTTTGACTTCTTGAACCAATGACAGCCCTTGAAACAGCTACGAGGCTATTCACGGCCATTCTGAATGTGATATGTACAACATAGGATTTGGAATCAGACGCTGGTTCCGAGAATTTTGCCTCGGGCAAAGCTGCCTCGCTGACCCTGGCTTCGCAATTGTCGAATGGGATTGCAACCGGGCGAGGGGTCGATTTCAATTAGGCAGTGTATGACCCCTTACGCATCTTGGTAGTATCACCTATTAGTCTTAGTGTCGCGAGGCACTGAAGAGGCCACAACTTCTCGCGTAAGTGTTTGAGATGACAGGGACGTAAATGATGAATTTTGTGTCTAATACCTTGAAATTGCCCGGGCCTCTGGCCACCTACTCACCAGGAACTTTTGCTCTCCCCTGACTTCTGACCACTTGACAACTTGGCTGACGTTGCTTACCAATTGTTGAGACACCTCGAAAGAACCTGCTGCATCAGTCCCAGAATCTGACTGATACAGGCCTCTCAGCCCGCAAGACTCAAGAAACGAGTGTGCTCATATAATTAGTTAATTCTGTCCACATCATTCAAAAAGTTGTATCACACGCACCTCATCATGGCGATATCGGAGCTCTCTAGAGCATTTACTTCAAGCGCCAAAGATGATGTTCAGTCTTCAAGTTGCTCAGAGGAGCTTTCCGCGGGAAAGGGTTCCATCATGTCCTCCGATGCGAAAGTCCCAGCGCTTCACGCTTCCCTAGAATTTAAGGAGGCCGAAGAAGCTGGCTACCCGGAAGATTCGGCCATCGAGTACCCGAGAGGCATTCGACTAGCCCTGATTATCCTGGGCCTTGCTATGGCCGTATTCTTGGTGTTTTTGGACATGACTCTTATTGCAACGGCCATTCCTGCAATCACAAATCAATTCAACTCACTTCAACACGTCGGATGGTACGGTTCCGCGTACATGTTGAGCGTAAGTGGTGCGTCTTGGGTTGCCTCGTTCAACACGGCTGACTTGCGACAGCTTTGCTCGTTCCAACTAGTCTACGGCAAATGCTACGAGCTTTTCTCTCTGAAGTTGACATTCATGGTGGCCATCGCTTTCCGAGAGGTCGGTCTAGCGGTTTGCGGAAGCGCACCCAACTCTATTGCCTTCATCATCGGCCGTGCCATTACCGGCATTGGCTGCAGTGGCATCATCATAGGTCCGAACTTTCATTCTCCCTGGTTTTATTTCATCTCTCTTTCTCAGTTCACTCTCGTCGTTGGCGCAGCTAACCATGATCGTCAAAACAGGTACCTGGGTTGTTCTGGCAAATTCCGTCCCAATCCGCCAACGGGCAGTGTACACTGGGTTCCTGGGCGCATTCTCAGGCGTTGGCGGCATCATCGGTCCTCTGATCTCAGGGGCCTTGACAGACAGTCATTTGTCCTGGCGGTGGGCATTCTACATCAGTATTCCTGTCGGTGTCGCAACACTGGGATTGATTCAATTCTCTTTCAGACCTCCGGCCCAGGTTATCTCTGACGGCAACAGAAAGCTGTCTTCCAAACTCAAGGAATTCGACATAATTGGTCTTTCCGTTTTCTTCGCCTGCATGGTCTGCCTTCTACTGGCACTACAGTGGGGCGGGTCGGAGTACCCGTGGAGTAGCGGTCCCATGATTGCACTCCTCGTGTTATTTGCGGTCATGCTGCTCGGTTTCGTCACTTCACAGATTTGGAAAGGTGACAAGGCCGCTTTACCACCTCGGCTTATGAAGCAGCGCAACGTTGCGTTTGCTTGCCTTTATGCCGCCTGTATCGACGCAGCTTACTATACTACAGATATTTGGCTACCAATATGGTTTCAGGCGATCAAGGGCAACTCAGCCAGGGAATCCGGTATCAAACTTGTGCCTTATGTTGGTGGAGAGGTACTGGCGGCGTTGGTTGCCGGATACCTGGTGACCCTCTTGGGATGGTACAACCCCTTTATGCTCTTTTCTACAGCCATCTCTTCGGTCGGCCTTGGACTTATGACCAGGTTCGAAGTTGGCACGGGTCCAAGCGAATGGATCACTTATCCTATCATTGCAGGCATCGGGATTGGGGCAGGGACCCAACAACCCATGATGGGAGTGCAGTCCACTCTCGTTCTCGCGGATATTCCGGCTGGAACTGCTGCTGTCACTCTTTTTCAGAATCTCGGTCCAGCAGTCCTTATGTCGGTCGCAAATACAGTCTTTGTCAACAATTTGAAGCGGAATTTACACGGCCAGGGCGGACTCGATGGACAAGCTATTGCCGACATGGGAGCTACCAATCTGAAGGACATGATCTCCATAGATCTACTTCCGGGGATCATCAACGCGTACAACAAGGCACTTCAGGAAACCTTTTGTGTACCGATGGCAGTGGCAGTAATCTCCATCATTGGGGTATTAGGCATGAAATGGGAGAAATTGCCGGCTTAAACATGATAGATTTCTCTCCATAGCAATGTCTCACAGGGTCTCTCGCGTTATGGAGACACAGGTTTAGAAGCGATGAAGCTCCGTTTCTATATACTGTCGTACCGTCTCATCAAACACGTATTCCATCTTGTTCAAGCTGAGTACTTTTGTCTTGCTTAAGCATCAAACTGCCAGGCACTGGCTGTTTTGTCCAGCAAACGTGGAAGAAATTGGACTGGGCGATCCTTGTCGCCATCTTTTACCACCACTGTGTATGTATTACGAAGGTCCTCGACGCAAAGGCCAGCTCTTGATGTGCGAATGATGTGAGCTCCATTCCACAATCCCGCGACGGCTGCTGGGGAGTTCAGAACAACACCCGACACGATGCGTGTATGAACACTGCTGCGGTCAAACCCAAACTCCATGATTGGGAGGCGACACTCTTTGAGCTTCTGGGATCCATCATCGAGCGAAAGACCTTCGAAGTCAATGATATGCCGACCACGAAGCATACCTTCGTATTGTTGAGCAACGGGGAGCTTGTCGCTTCCAAGATATTCCTCAAGGCTTTCAAGCCACTGTTGAGAGCGGACAGTTTTCCCATCCCTGCATCTTCTGGAGAGGTCGATGATGATTTTGTCAAGGGGCCCGTTGCTCATGATGTCGTGTTGGCCGGTGTGCCTTCTCAGGTACAGATCAATGAACAGCAAGTAGGCCAAACCACGCTTATAAGATATCCATTCTCCATACCAGTCGCTGAACATAATCTCAGCGGCCTTGCGTACATCGATCGCGATTCTTGGACTTGTGTAGTAGGCTTGAAGATGGCCATTTAGACTTTTGATAAGAAAGTCTGTCCCTCGAAATCCAAACCGGTATGGAAGAAAAGCGCTGTAAAACTCGGCAACCCCTGTTTATCACGAACTTAGCAACCACCGTACTGAAAAATGAACAACGCGTATACCACCAACCTTCGATATACCACTCGTTTTCATATCCATCCTCCTCAGGGTTGATGTCAACGAAGCTGTGTACCATCTCATGGGTGAACAGCAGAACTAGTGAGTCGTCTGTCTCATTCTTCGTTGCGTTTTCGTACTCCAGAACATAACTTCCATCGAACCCGCTGCCTCCAAAGCCTACCAGAGACTTGCGAATGAAGATCCGGTAAGATTCACCAGTCACGCCAAAGAAGGATGCCAGCTTTGGGAATAGGGCGGTATTGTATGATTTGAGCCGCTCAAGGTTGGGCGGCAAGTCTCCGAACCAGTAGCAGGCAGCGAAACCATCATCGCCCTCTGGAGAGACTTCCGGATACCGTTGGACTGGCCCAACCATGTAAACAGTGTTCCACAATGTCTCGGCACGACCAACACGGACGAGAGGTTTGGTTCCTTCGCCATAACTCCAAACACATCTCGTGGATTCCGGTGCATCAGCCGGGACGTTCCACTTGACCACATTCGTGAAGACTTGGTCGGACAATAGCAGAGGTAGGAACCATTGGCCTACGCCGTGGACACCGCCTTGGTCCTTGCGAAGATCGACACGCGCACCCAAGGGAGTCGTGACGTCGACATGGCGAGGAAAGACGTCAAATTCAAGTTTGACGTCGCCTCGGGTTTGCCTACTGAATGACCAATGTTGCTGAGTATTACGACCTTCCGAGGGTAGATCTCGAAATTGGATTTCGAGAGGCCCCGAGTCATCCGTGGCCTTGATGTCGCGCTCGTGAAAATGATGAGCTGGGATGTTGTCTTTGAAGGGATAGAAAGAAAACGCGGGCTGATCAGGCTTAAACGCTGGACTTTGAATGAGGAACAGTACGGAGAGGCTGCTAACACCATCGGCATCGAACTTGGGCGTGAGTTGGAGGGAAAGGATTGGATGGTGAGGGAGCTGCATGATGACTTCGACTTTGAGGCTTCTGGTTGTCAACGCAACAGAGGAGTGCGTGGTGGACTGGTGAGAATATAAGTTGGCAAGTCGCGCCGTTATGCTAGACTTTGTCGTCGTGGAGATTGACGCGGCCCACCCGAAAGAGGAAGCTGCAACACACAAGCTGGTGGGGTTCTGGATAGCACGGCATCATAAAGTTAAATAATCCACGAGTGTCATTTGACTTCGCGCGTTGCACCTATTATTCCTAACCCGAGCTGGTACTAGCCGTTTTAGTGTGTGCTGGGATCGGAGCTGGGGATAAGCTTGAACGTCGCCCAATTGCCCAGTGTAAGAGTTGTGTCTTGTTGATCCGACTCTACGAACAGACATTGAAGGTGTTTGAGATCGTGCCATACTCAGTAAACCTCAGATTCCAAATGATCTAAGGCCTCTGAGATTTAGACTTGAAGTAGTGCCAGCAATTTTGTGCTCATCCGCCGATTTTGTGCCAGAAAGATAATGAACGGTATGTTGCTGTTCTGGTGCAGCTCAGACCCTTGTCGCCGTACGTACCAGCCTACGCAATGCTCGGCGGGCAACAGCCGCCAAATGCAAGATAGCTTACTTATGGACATTTGCACTGTTCAATCAAAACTTTGCATCGATTGTGTCGTCTAAGAGGCAAACCTGAACGGCGTTAACTGCCAATAGGTAATTTGCAAAAAGAAAAGACAGTGTTGTTACTCACATGAAAGGCCGCACAGCGCTCCCCGCAAGACAAGTAAACTTGTCAAGTTCAATTAATCAATCAATCAATTATGAAGCCATCGCCAGTCAATCAAGTCAAGTTTGACCCTTCAAATAGCTCAAACTTCAAAATTTCATATGACTCATGGCTTCTGGCTTAAAAGGTATGCAATATCCTGCCTCAGTGAAGATTCTAGCTTTGCTGGCCATGTTATCTCTGGCTTACACAACACATTCCCATCAGTCATTCATTTGACAATCTTTATATTTCTCATATGTTTTTCTTACCAACGCAATTGGACGGCAAAAAGAAGAAAAGCTTCTGTAAATCATGACGTTGACGGGCTGGAGGAGCAAGCGGTGAGGCTTAGTGAGGCTACTCTGAGTTCAGCAAATGAGTGAAACGCTCGATCTCAACATCACGGGTCCACTCCAGTCTGGAGAGCATGCCATATCGGGTTATCTTCCCCTATCCACCATTGGTCGATATACCCAGACAGCATACGGGGGGGGCACGCCGTGGGTGGGCAACGAGACTACAGGGGCTCGAACTGCCTACCTCAGGGGCGTGTCTTGAGTGGATCACATAGCATATATAAGTCCTCAAAGATGAATGTTGATCAGGTCCATCACTTTTTCTACGCCTCAAATCACCTTGTACCACTCATTATGGCTCCTCCATTTCGCTCCGAGCAAGTCGGATCCCTGATCCGCCCGGCATCCCTCTTAGAGTCGCAATCCTCCATGGGCTTTTACTCAGACAAGTTGTCCAAGAACCAGGCTGCGGCAACAGCATCCGCCATTGTATACGCAGCCAAGAAGCAGCTGGAACTGTCGATTCGACCCATTACCTCTGGCGAGTATGAGCGAACTATCTTCTTCAGCGGCTTCTTCGAGAACCTCCAGGGCATGGAGGTCCGCCAAGATCTTAGAATTCCGCAAGACTTCCGAACTGGGCTGCCCAACATTACTGGCCTCGCTAAGATGGGTTTGAACCACTTCGCTGCTGTCATTGCTACTGGCAAGATAAAATACGCCACCTCGGCTTACTTGCCCGCGTGGGAGATGATCAAGAAGGCCGTGCCCCAGGAACACTGGAAAGACTGCAAGATGGCCATTCCCTCGATATCGTGGCAGCATATGTACCTAGTTAGGGGCACAGCGTTTGCTCCTGGCGTGTACTCTTCTGATCAGGAATATTTCCTAGATCTAGCGAAGGCTTATCGCGCCGAGCTAATGACCCTATACGACGCGGGCCTGAGATCAGTCCAGATTGACGACCCTAACTTGACCTTCTTCATTGTGGAGGACTTCCGGGAAGGTCTGCGGGGAGACGGCATTGACCCTGACTCCCTGTTGGATCTGTACATTTGGGCGCACAACGAGGCCATCAAGAACCTCCCGATGGATTTGCATGTTGGCGTCCACCTCTGCCGCGGCAACATTCCCGGGGGCCCATCTTTTGCCGAGGGATCGTACGAGAAGATCGCTAGCCAGGTGTTTCCCAAGCTGAATTATGCCACATTCTACTTGGAGTTCGACGACCCTCGCATCTCTGGGCACTTTGAACCGCTGAGATTCATCCCCCGAGGGAAGAACGTGGTCCTCGGCTTAGTCTCGACCAAGGTCGCCGAGCTTGAGGACAAAGACGCTCTCATCACCCGAGTTCACCAAGCTGCCGACGCCATTGCCAAGGGGCAGGGAAGAAGCGCATCCGAGGTCCTGGAGGACTCACTTGCGGTGAGCCCGCAGTGTGGATTTGCCAGCCACAACATCAATAGAGGTGTGGCTACGGAGGAGAGAATGTGGGAGAAGTTGGTTCTTGTCAGAGACGTTGCCAGGGCTCTGTGGAGTGATGCCGTCTAACCATTGTGACACTGTCTTTCAGCTGTAATCTAGACACCTTCTGAAATGGAGACATCTATATCGGTACATTGCTGCGATTCACAAGAGACTGTAACCTCGTCCTCCTAAAGCTACATTTTTCACAGACAGCTATTGTTTCCTCCCTAAAATCAAACACGCTGAAGAATATAAGGTACCTATGAAAGTCATCAGCCCAAACGTTAATGTCATTAAATAGAGTTCGGCCTAGCGATAGAGCCAAGAGCCTTCAATACTAAGCCAGCAGAAAACAGTCAAGGCCAACTCGGACAAGTCACAGTGGTGTTATCTGGACCAAAGAACGGGGGATAGCGAAAACCATAATGATTTTCGCTCGGCGGCGGAGGTCCAGATAAGCGCCGAGACCGAGATCGCTGTGGAGCAGGCCGAGACCTCAGCCCCAGTTTCCAAGAGGGGCAAAAGCGACAGGCTGTGTTTCATTGAAGATGAAGAACGGATTCTGCAGATATGATTGACATATCAGGTTGCGTGGTGCATAAGGTATGCTTGAGCGCCATGTGGGATGGCTTTCCAATATGCTTGGTTATCCAGCGTCTTGACGCAACAAGCTGGCCTGGATGACCCCTGTAGACCAAATTTTTGAGTTGAGGGATCTCCCGCATCGAACCTGCGCATGCTGTGGGATGAGTGTTCATGGGTCGTATTGCAATAGCAGGGCTGTATGTGTATGTCTTGGCTTTGTGCCTTGACAAAATCTTCGGACTCACTCAGAGGCTGCGAGACGGTAGTCGGCCGGGCCCAGGCCCGAGGCCCGAACCCCGGCCTGAATCCCGCCTTTATATAAGGGATTAGCTATACTACTTTATAGCTAGGCGCGCCTAGCACTTATAACTAGATTAATTAAGCTACTTCACGCAGGTTATAAGCCCTCTAAATACCTAAATCTATCTACTAGATAGTGAGGTTATTCCTAAGTAGCTATTAGAACTCTAACTTTATAGTTTAGTAATTACTATAGGGTAATTAATAGATTATTAAGCTACTAGAAGTAATACTTCTAAGTAGAGGTTATAGCTATTATAATATATATCCTCTACTTATAAAATCTCTTTAGCTTTTAAGCTACTAAAGTTAATAATTATTTAATAATTACTATAGTTATATAGTAATAACTACTTAATAACTATCTAATAATTACTTATAATTACTCCTTAAACTTCTCTTAAACTATTAAATTAATTAAATAAATTAATATATCCTTAACTAGTAATCTAACTCTATCTTCCTCTAGCTCTACTAAGAGGGGATTATTTTAGTTAGGCCTTCTTAGCCCTCCCTTTTCTTCTACTAACCTTATAGCTAAAGTAGCTATATAGAAAGTAACTAATAAGGGACTAAATCTAAGAAGTCTAATATATAATACTATCCTTAAACTAACTAAAGCTATAAGCTTTTAGCTATAAGAGATTAATCTTAAGAATACTTTTAAAGTAATAAAACTTCTTTTCTACTTAATAAATAAAGGAATACTAAATAGATATAATAAAGATATAGTTTTTAAAGAAAATAAAGTAGTAATAGTTAAGAATCTAAGATCTTTAGGTAATCTAATATTTATAAGTTTTATATTTATTAAATAGTTACTTATAGAGAAGATCTAATATAATTTCTTAAAAGAAATAATTAATAATAATCTTTTTATTATAGCTTTAACTTTCTATATCTTTATTAAGACTAAAGAATATACTTAGAAGTTTAATAAACTAGCTATAAATAAAGTCTATAATAACTAGAATAAAATAACTAGAGTTAACTATAGAAATACTAAAGATTTTATCTAAGATCTTTACTTAACTTTTAATAAACTAAATAGTTCTAATATAAGCTTATTAACTATAGCTCTTATTTATAGACTTATTTAAGGTTTTAGATATTTTAATTAAGCTAAAGTAGATACTATAGAGAATAACTTTATTATAGAAATTTATACCTATAATAACCTCCTATAAGAACTTAGAGGCTTTAGTGAAAAGGAATAATATAAGTAAACCTCTTAAAGTATTAGAGCTCTATTAAATAAGAAGAAGTTTACTATAAAGAAGTAAACTTAGCCCTCTAAGTTTATAAATAATAGAGAGATATAATAATAGGATTTATATACTACTTATAATTCTAAGTATCTATAAAACCTTTATAGATATAAGATATACTCCTACTATTATAGAAAGGCTTCCCTATACCTTATTTCTTATAATAAGTACTTATTAAAGTATTATAAGTATTATACTATAAAATTTAATAAGTTTAAGTACTTAAACGCACTATAAATAACTATATAAATAACTATATAAATATCTACTTTAGTATTTACTTTAGAGGGTTAAACTTAAGATAGTATCTTTAGAAACTCTAGTATTAAATAGGATATTAAC